CCACATTAGCACGAACACGTGGGACTTCCCTCCTCTGCGCCCATCCGTACACCGGCCTCTGACAGGCAGCACGAGGGGAGGCGGCCGCCGTGGGCAGAGCCCTGGTCCTGCAAGGGTTCCCAGAATCTGCTGGACGACGGCCCACGAGACACCTCCACACCTTCCGCCTGGCCCACCCCCGGTGGGCCGAGGGCTGAGAAGTCGGGCTGCTGATGGGGCAGGGAAGAGCCGCCCCTCCCCGCTCCGCAGAGGCTGGCCTCCCGCCGGGTGCTGGGGGCGTGTTGATGGGCGACGTGTCTTCTCAGGAGGCCACAGCCATGTTTGCATCCCCTGAGGGAGGGCGTCCTGGGTTTCCATCTTGAACAGCTCTGAAGCAGGGAGTGCGCCCTCCCCTGAGCACAGACCCTGCCGGATCTGGCAGGGAAGCCAGACGGCCGGAGCTCCTGAGTCCCACAGGTGCAGGTTCCTGAGGACTCTCCTTGCCGGTGACGTTTCTAAGCTGGCGTCGCGGGGAAGGGAGGTGCGGGCGTGGATTCAGGCGCCAGATGAGCCGCGGTGCACACTCCACGTGCCAGGGGCCCACGGCCACCACTGGGATGCGCTGAGGGGCGGCATCCTGTGTCTTCTGGTCTGCAGCATCGCTGTGCTTTGGGAGAACTTGTCGTCTGTTTCTCAGACACCCTGACATGGCCACCAGCCCCTGGGGGAGGCCACCCCCCAGCCGACGTCTGCACGGACACCGGCTGCGGGAAGGCTATGACGCTCTGACCGCTGTAACGGGCATCCCCCAAGTTTCAGAAGCCTAACCTGCTAGAGGTTCACTTCTTGTTCCTGGGCGTGAGGGGTGGCCCCTGTGCTACAGCCACTCAGGTCCCCAGAGTGAGGGCCGCAGGATCGGCCGGCCCGAGACGCAGCATGCACCCATCCGGTCTGAACTCCACTGACCAAAACCCCATCACGTGGCCTCGCCTAACTGCAGGGGACCCCGGGGGTACGCAGCCCAGCTCTGTGCCCAGGGGAGGGGTACATGTGGAGACCGGCTGTCCCTCAGGGAACGGTGGGTGTCCTTTCCTTTCTGAGGGCCCCACTGCGCCAGGAGGGGCGGCCCTCGGTGAGTGTGCAGACCGAACCTGGCAACCCTGCTGCGAGCCTGGTATCTCTTCAGCCCGCTGCCCTGCTTCGCCTTCTCCGTGATCTGCCGCCATACGTGATTTGTTCATCGAAGGACAGGCCTCCTGAAGGCAGAGGCCCTGCCTGTATCTCTAGTGCTGCAAA